GCAATTTTATGTTGTTAAAATTTGTGAAAATATCATGATCATACCATTCTTGGTTCACAAACTATTTATCGCAGCGTATAGTCCATATTTTGGATGCATGGACCCAAAAATGTGACCCTAATTATTATTATTTTTTTTTTTTAATTATAAATTTTACTGTGTTTTAAACATAAAATGCTTTATCATTTCTAAAAAAATCAAAAAATTAGAACGTATTTTAAACTTTTTGAGTTTTCTAGTATAGGTCCATCTTAAAACAGTTTGGGAATGTTAAAATATTTTATTTGTATTGCCTTTCAGATGGTGAGATCAAGAAACGCACCTCCGAGAAGGGTAAATGGGACGAGGAAACTTTAAAAAGAGCATTTCAACTCCTGAACAAGAAACATTACTTGCTGATCACATGAAGCAACTATCAAATCAGTTTTATGGCGTAACCCTTTCTGATTGGTGTCGCCTAGCCTTTGACTTTGCTGATAGGTTAAACATTAAAAATAGTTTCAATAAAGTTACTAAGATGGCTTGGAAAGACTAAGCGGCTGGTTTCAGAAAAAGAAACCCAATTTTGAGCTTGAAGCAGCCCTTGGCAATAAGCCTCAATTGAGTTCTGGCTTTCAATAAAGCTTAAGTGGATTTGTTCTTCGCTAACCTAGATGAGGTATATAAGAAACACTAATTCAAGGCGACAAGAATATTCAGTATGGATGAAACGGGTATTTCAATGGTCCAAAATCCCGGTAAGATATTAGCACCAAAGGGCCAACATTAGGTGGGATCCGTTACAAGCTGAGAGCGGGGGAGAAACATTACGGTGGTCTGTGCTATCAGTGCTTCTAGATAATTAATTCATCCAATGTTTATCTATCCCCGGAAACGGATGTCTCCACAACTAGAAAGAGGGAGTCATCGGGGACCCATCTATACATGCTCTCACAACGGCTGGTCAAATAAAAACCTCTTCCAAGATTAGCTAAAACATTTCCAGGAAAACGCTATACAAACAATAGAAGATCTTGTGCTATAGGTGTTAGACAACCACGGCAGTCACATTTCTCTAGAGAGTTATGAATTTTGCAGAGCGAATCACTTTAATGTAGTTTGTATACCACCCCATACGTCCCATAAGCGTCCCACAGTCTTTGGATTTATTATTTTATGGCCCTTTGAGAAAAGCATTTAACATACAGAGTGACAGATTCTTAAGAGCTAACCGTCTCCAGAAAATAACAGTGTACGACATTGCTTCCATCTTTAACGAAGCATACATGAATGTCGCAACAATGAAGAAAGGGGTTTCAGGATTCGCTGCATCCGTTATTTTCCCTTACAAGCCAGAAAAATTCAGTGATGTGGATTTTATCTGCGAGAACATGGTTCAACAACCAGTCATAACCACCACGAAAATGTTGATGAACCACCCATCATGGAATCTATTCAAGATATCAATCTGTCTGCCGCTAACCACCCAGAAACTACCAACGATTCGGCTACTTTCATGGCATCAGAAGGTTGCGCGTAAGAAAACTGCTTGCTTAAATTTAACAGGGATTTATGCTAATCCAGAAGCTGGTTCTTCAAAGCAGGACACAGTTCTAAAATCTGTTCTAAAACCCTACCAAAGCCCAACATGTTTCAAAGAAACTCTGGAATATTTGTCACCCCTTCTTTCTTTGTCAACAGATAATAAAGATGATCACAATAACAGAAAGCAACACTTCATGACAGGAACCTATGAAAGAAATTTTGAAAGAAGCTAAAAAGAAAAAAGAAATTAAAGATGTAAAAGCCAAGCTTAGATTAGAAAAACTTATGGACAACCCTAAGGTGATACCTAAAGTCAAACTTAAACTCTTGAAGAATAGGTCTAGCAATGTTGGAAAAATCGTGAAGACTAAAATGAACACCCATCCTAAAAATAAGCCCGCAGCTAAAAGAAAAATAACAAAGAAAAGGTGTCGTAGACAAATTTCTTTTGAAGAATCAACTTCTGAGGAAGATCTTGATGAAACTAAACTATGTGATGATGACGACGGGATTGATTTATTTTCAAAGGAATTTATTTTTTTTGTATCTCAAAAAGTCTTACTTTGTTATTATCAATTATATACTACATTTATTTACTCTATGTAAAAATAAAATATGTTTGTTAAAATAATTGTCTTATTAATTACTAATGTCCGTATTACCCAAAAGTGGTGTCGCAATTACCCCGGTAGCTGGGGAAATACCGACATTGTTCTTAAATTACGAAAAACATTCATGTAACATTTGTAATGCTAATAAATTTTAAAACATTACACATTGATTTGATGTAAAAAATTTTGGACAAATCTTTAGGTACTTACCAAAATCGTAACTGACCTAGAAAAAATTATAAAAATCAAATTGGATTAAGGTGTCGGCATTCCCCCGGTCTACCCTAACATAATTTTTATGATTACATACTTTATAAATACTCATCAGTTTCATGCTTTTTATTGGTATACTTTTGGTGTTCACGGAGTTTTCTAAAAATACGCTTTTATCCTCATCAACTAAATAAAAAATGAAAAAAAAACTTCCACTTTAAGAGCATCATTAAAATATGTCGTCTTATCAATGTCAAAACGATGCAATGAAGCATTTTCAATTTGTGAAATACTGTGTTTTATTTAAAACAAGAAAATTATCCAAAGTAGATAAAAACTACTGCAACGCAAACACAATACAAAAATATGCAACACCTGCTACTCAAGAAAAAAAATTTGAACCCCAATCAAATTAATGTTTCACAAGCAGTTTTGTTTATTATTATTATTTTAACAGTATGTTCGTTCTTTTACGATTAAAGTTGGTAGTATAAAGACTCTAATACATTCAAAAATAAACAAGTTATATGGGAGCAAATTTAACGTATAAAAGTTAATTGTTACAAATTTTCATAAAATAATAATGTTTCAAATTTTCATAAAATAACAGATAAAAAAACGTGGGAAATTTGCAGAAGACAAGAAAGTCTTATCGTCAGGAAATGATATGTAATATTCATGTTTTTATAATACTAAATTTTTGAAAAAGATATTAAAAACAAAAGTTAAAATGAACATAATATAAATTAAATGGAAATAATAACAAAATCGCTCAAAGTTATTAAAATAAAAATACATAAAATAAATATATAAGAAAATCATTAATAAGATTTGCTTTCAATAATTATTTAAAAATAATATTTTAATTTATTTTAATTAATTTTTGAAAGCAATTTATATTTTTTGCACATTATATTATTATCTTTTGCCAAGATTTTATTCCAAATATGAGAAGCACAATATGTAATTTTTAATTGTTCCAGTTTAGTTTTGCATAAAGGTTTAATTAAGGTGCCTGTTGTGCGCCATATGTAATTAAAGTTAGGTTTTATTTCAAAGAGATCATGAAAAATTGATGGACATTTACTTTTGTACCTTTATGTTACTAGGTTGCCTTTAGAAGTGCTACTCCTAGCAATATTTGCACAATTTAAGTATCTATGTATAGAACTAAAATATATTTGTTTTAGATGATGCTTATTTAGAAGATCCCTTGATTGATATAGAACTTTACCACTTTTTGATATTTTGTTCCCAATAAAGGCAATATGTTTATTCCAGCTAATATTTTCGTCGACGAGAACACCAAAAAATGTTGCTACTCTTTCGCGACTAATTTCTGTGTTTTCAATAACTAATTTTGAAAGAGAATTCTTTTTATTTTATTTAAAGGATGAAATAACGAAAACTTTGTTTTTTTTAGAATTAATGTGGTAGATAACTAAAGTATATGTATGATGTGGTAGATAACTAAAGTATATGTATGATGTGGTAGATAACTAGAGTTTATGTATGATGTGGTAGATAACTAAAGTATATGTATGATGTGGTAGATAACTAAAGTATATGTATGATGTGGTAGATAACTAGAGTTTATGTATGATGTGGTAGATAACTAAAGTATATGTATGATGTGGTAGATAACTAAAGTACATGTATGATGTGGTAGATAACTAAAGTATATGTATGATGTGGTAGATAACTAAAGTATATGTATGATGTGGTAGATAGCTAGAGTTTATGTATGATATGATAACTTGTTTGATGTGCCTAATTTTTATATTATACTATATTTATGAACAACTTCAAGTTCTTCAAGTTTTTTTTTCATTTATTTATCATTTAGTTAAGAATATAGTTTTCTTGTTATTCGATTTTATTCAATTTTCAACTAATTTTTTATCATGAGTGTGATAAAATCACTCGAGTTTTTTTTATTATTAAGTTAGGGCAATCTTTTATTGACATTTTAACATAATGTGCCTTATCATATGGAAAAGGCTTTAGGTATCACATACCGTAATACCAGGTAATTTTGATAGGTTTTTAGGCTTATATACATACACACACAGACACATATATATATAACTACATAAATTTGTAAATTATTTGTAATTTTATAGAAGATTAAAAACCATTCATTAGTATTTATATACAATGCTCGACAGTATAAAAAACATTCTGCTACTTTAATACAGTAATACAAATTTCTCTTGCACTCTCTTGGCATATGGACTATGATACATTAAGCAGCCGTGGCTCAATGGTAGCGCACTTGACTCAGAAACAAAGGGTCCGTGGTTCCGACCCTACACCTCTGGGCAAGTTTTGCGACATTGGTTAGGAAGGAGGCGTGAGCTTTCAATTAAATTCTTATCTCCGGTACTCTGGGAAAAGACCCTAAGGACCTATTGAGGCACCTATATAAAATTAAAAAAAAAAAAAAAAAAAAAAAAACAATAACAACAACAACAAAAAAAAAACATGGTTTAGCTTGCTATGGGATGCCAACATTAGGTTAAATTGAATCAAGTTTTAAAAAGGTCTTGAAATATTCCAAGACTATTAAAAATTTGAAACTTTGCTCAACTAGTAAAAAATTTTTTTGATTTGTTTATAAAACATCATTTGTGATTTGATTGGTTTATAAAACAAAGTAAATTTATTTTTTTAATTAGATTTAACATTTTGATTAAAAAATTATTACACAAAAGTATTTTCATTTGGAAATTTTTTTTTATCTAAAGAATTCAACTCACGAAGTTGATTCCCTAGTTCGCAGTCTACTTTATTACTTCTTTTCTTGAAAACTTTTCGCGCATTTTTTAATTGCTTTTCTATAGCACTAAATTTGTCATCAGAGATTTCCATGGAAACTTTTTTACACAGTTCAATATCGACTTCTTGGTTATTCTCAGTTAATATATTTCTCGTTTTTGTATTAAAATTGAAACAGTCTTTCTGATTAAGATTGGTTGCTTTAAATGAAGAGTAACTTACGTCATTCATTGATTCCGTCATTTTCCCCCAGCTGCTCAAAAGCAATTCTCTAAATTTACTTTCATCTTTTCGGATCTAATAAAAAATTTCGAAAAATATATAAAAAACTCGGAGATTTAAAAGTCAACGATTTTTAGGAAATAAAATGTACTTTTATGTGTGCGTGTTTGTCTTTTCTCTGTCTCTCTGTCTATATATATATAGGGCCGGCGCGAGTAGAGGTCACGTGATGGGGTGGGGTGGGGTGGGGTGGGGGTGGGGGTAGTGGCCATTTACTTTTGCCGTCTAAAAAAAAAAAAAAAAAAAAAAAAAAAAAAAAAAAAAAAGTCACATTTGCCGACTAAGGGTCAAATTTGCCGACTAAAAGTCATTGATGGGGGGTGTAACACCCCACACACCCCCCTATCGCGCCGGCCTTGTATATATATATGTGTGTGTCTATATATATACACCTAAATCCATAGATTAGTTGGGTTGCAAAGAAAAAAAAAGAAAAAATCGATGACTAATAAAAAAAATTATCGCTGCCCTAACCAAAGCCTTAGCCGATGTAACCGTGGCGCAGTGATTAGAGTTCTAGCTCAGAACCCAGAGGTCTGAGGTTTGACGCCAGCTCTAGCCCAACAAGCAACATTGGTACGGAAGGAGGAATGAACTTCTTGTTAAATGTTCTCCCGCGGTGCTCTATGATAAGACCGTAAGGACTTCTGGGAGCAGCTAAATACATACATACAAAAAAAAAAAAAAAAAAAGTGCTTTGCATGTTCTCCTTATATCAGTCGATGTATGTACTGAAGTACCCACAGCATCCTATTTTAGTATGATGTTAGATTGTTAATTTAAGTCTGCCCTTATAGTTATATAAGCACATATATAAAACATCATACATAGATATTACTTAAATTTTGTTTATGTACCTTTTTCGTAATGTCAACGGACAACTTTAAAGTATATTTTATCTTTTTTAGTTCTTCCGGGAAAAGTGCAAGAGCTTCAAATAAACTATCTACATTAATACTGTGTACAATACCATAGGATGTAGATTTAACTTCACAAACCGATTTTTCTGGTCGTTCAACAAGCCGTTTTCCAAACGAATCACCAGGCCCTTAAAAAAAAGCAATAACATAATATATATATATATATATATATATATATATATATATATATATATATATATATATATATATATATATATATATATATATATATATATATATATATATATATATATATATATATACATTCTAGTTTTAAATAATAATATAAAAAATATGCAGTACATATATATTCTAGTTGTAAATAATTCTACAAAAGAATCTGAGAAAAACACAACATTGATTCATTTAATAATTTTAAATAAATAATTCTTAAATTTAAAATTCAAACAGAAATATTTTAATCCAACATTTCTGTTTGCTCACAAAAGTTTTGATGTATTAATGTAGGCAGAGAGGAGGAGAATTCTCTTTAAGAGGGGGGGGGGGGGACGGTGTTTACGATTTTTAGCCACTTTTGACTTAAATTAAAAATTATATATAACAAAAATAATATTTTTTTTAACAAAACTTTCAAAATCCCGATTAGACATCATTTTTAGAAAAAATTATTCGTAATTTTTAAAACTTCATTATAGATATATATAAACATATATATATATATATATATATATATATATATATATATATATATATATATATATATATATATATATATATATATATATATATATATATATATATGTATATATATATATATATATATATATATATATATGTATATATATATATATATATATATATATATATATATATATATATATATATATATATATATATATATATATATATATATATAAATTTATAAATAATATATAAATTTATATATAAATCATGGTAAACTGACTCAAATGACCCTGTTTAGTGAAGTTATGTATGTCTATCATATCTTTATCATTTTTTATGAAATACGTCAACTCATAGAAAACTATAGTAATAGTACTTTAAAAGATGTTTTAAATACAAAAGAGCTTCACATGTTTAAAACACCAAAATAGAAATACAAAATATCTTTTTTATTTTTGAACAGTTTTCCAAATAATGCAAAGCTTTCTTGTGTTTCAATTACAACACATTTATCTAAATATTTCAAATTCACATTTTCCACATTTAATAGATAACATTCAAAATTGAAAGCTTAAGTACTTATAAAATGTCTAAGCGTGATGAAGTTTAATTAAATGATCAATATACAATATATCAATATAAAAGATTATGTGTTATGATATTGAGATTATATTGAGATGTGTTTGTGATTAACTAATGTCATCTATTCATTTTCAGACAAAAGTTTTATGTTTATGTAAAAAAAGTTGATGTGCTATGCTTCAAAACTGTTCATGCTTCAAAGAGAAAAATTCACAATAATCTTTTATGAGCTTTTAGAAAATAAACAAAACACTAGAAAAAAAAAATAAGCCATGAAAAAAGCGGATAGTCGTAATGTTTCTAGCAATAGTCTGTAATATTTTAGTCTATGAAGTGTTTGGTAAAACACAGATATGAATAATTTTCATGCAATGCGATTAACTTAGTACTCTAAAAAATTGTTGTTGTTACAACACAGATTTTAAAACAATATGTGTATTCAAAAAATATGTATATCAAAAAAATGATCAACTTAAAACATATTTCAATTGGCAAATAATGGTCTCCTGGAGCAAATAAATTTAATAGTTAAAAAGATTTCAAGACAAAAAAAAGCCTTTCAAACAAATACTTTATCCAAATTGCTATCATTAATACTGATTATTATAAAATATTACATTTTAATTATTGTTATTTGGATCAACATATTATTGTTATAAATTCTGTCAAAATACTTTACTCTACTTTTTGATCATAACATTTATAATGTTATGCTTTAAATCAAATTATAAACAAAAGGTTTTTATGTCTTATTCACACATTCTTTATTATTTGCTTGTTTATTTGATGATTGCTATTTTTTAATTAAAATTTAAAAATTTAATATCAATTAATTAACTTAATTAGTTAAGATTAAACAAAAGTTGGAATGATGTTAAAAAGTTTACCATTGGTATAAAATCAAAAACATTACTAAAATGTAAATACTTGTAATGGAATAACATCAAAAGTTGCAATGGGTTAACTTCAAGAAAATCTAAATAAAAAATTACATAACTTGTTTTTATATAATTTTGTTTCAATTTTTGATTATTAAAAAAAACTCAAATCTGTACCCTCAAATCTTGCCCTGTCCGATATCACAAATTAATATATACTTTTTATTATATCAAAAGACAAAGGAATCAGCATGTCCAAATATTCTTATAGTCTAAATAGATCCTATTAGTAAAGACCTTGTTTTAAAAATTTTTTTGATCCTTTTATTAATAATATTTTCATGTTATTCCAGTAATTGTATTTTTATGTTATTTCAGTACTTGTACATTGATGTTCTACCAGTAATATACCAGCTTGATGTTCTACTAGTAATATACCAGCTTGATGTTCTACCAGTAATATACCAGCTTTATATTCTACAAGTAATATACCAGTTTGATGTTCTACCAATAATATACCAGCTTGATGTTCTACCAATAATATACCAGCTTGATGTTCTACAAGCTTTTCACAAATATTTAAGTATTTGCAGAAGTTGCATTAGTTTGATTTTAGAAATTATGTTTTTAATTTTATTTCAGTAATTATGTTTTTGATGTTAGTTATTAATTATTTTATATCTATTACTAAAATATTATATATATTAATTATTTTAGTTATTAATTATTTGATATATTACTAAAACATTTTATATATATATATTAACTATTTTAGTATTGTATTATTTAATACAATTTCCAGTATTGCTCTCTTGACATTAACTCAGTAAATAATTGTTAACAATATTTTATTATTTTGTTTACAAAACAAACCAATTATTTCTTAAAATAATTTTAAACTGATTTTTATTATAAAAGGTTTTTATAAGAAATCCAACACACACATGCACACACATAAAAAAAGCAAAAGAGTTTTTTTTACCAATTAGACCAATGAGTTCTTCCTCACAGCTTACTTCAAATGCTCCTGAAACTACAAAATAAATTGAGTTCAACAACTCAGAATTAGTAATAAGTATGTCACCAGGGGGTGTTCTTAAGACCCAAAAATATCGAGAAACTGATCGCAGAGCTTTACTTGACATGTTTTTAAAACATGGTTCCTTCTCAAGAACTTTTTTATGAATGCGTAAACAGAGATCTGACTGCAAGTCACGTGGAAAACCATTTATTATCTAAAGCAAAGGAGAAAGAAAATACTCAAAGTTAAAAAGTTTCAAAGAAGTTTGTTTATCAAGTTTAATAAATATCTTTAATACTTTTTCTCGGTTAACTCCTTTTGTTACTGTCCAGGTAGCTATAAAATAATCTTCAAGACGGGATCCTATGTTATTTGGAACTTTATATGTCTTGACAAAATGTTGTATTGCATTCAATTGTGCTGAATATTCATTTGTTGCATGGTAAAGTTGTGCAATAATGTTATTGACTTTTGCAAATATAAAAGCATACAGTACACCTAAAAATATAAAAACATAAACATAAAGTATATCAAGAAAAATAAAAGCATATAAAACTTGCATATAACTATTAAAAAAAAATTTAAAAAGTAAAAAATTTAAAAATTTAAACTTATACAACTTAACCACTATTACAATAAAATCTGAAAATTTTAAAGATCTTGAAGAAACTGTTTATATAAAAATTTTGTAATTTTTCATAGTTTTTTGAAATATGACTTTATAAGGTTACCTATATTTCTTTAAGATATTTCTTTTTTTTTTTTAAAAAAAAAAGGGAATATTTTAATGGTTTGTCTTTATGGTTCACTTTACAGTTATTGAAAATCTGCTTATAATTATGTTGATAATATAATATTAATATTCTTGATATTGCTATTGCATGTTTTCTTCTAAAATATTTTTTTTTGCATAACATTTTCTTTGATACCAGTATAGGTATAAAAGACTAAGTTGTAAGTTTTATATGTGACCTAGACTTTTTAAAAGTAAAATTTGCTCTGAATGTGCAAACTTTATTTACAAAAAGTATAATCCACGGCTTCACCTAAATATAAACCACTGCCTCACTTAAAGTTCACATAAGAGAAAATACATAAGAAAAAACAAAGATTTTTTTCTTACAACTGAAAATCATTGCAAATATTGTAAAATATTTTTCTGTCAATGTATCTGCAGCATTTCCCCAATTTCCAAATCCGCATGTTGACAAGATTGTCACAGCAAAATATAAAGCTGTAATGTAGCAATCTACAATAACCGGACCGTTTCCATTAGCAATTAATGTTGTAGTGCTACCATTAATATTGAGATTCTCTATTGACATAAGATCACTTAACCATCCATTATTATTTGGCTTAACAATGACATCAATTTGAAATCCAATCAAATACCTGTAAAAAAAAAAAACACTTATCAAATAACTTTAAAACTAGACTCAAATACCTGTAAAAAAATCTGAAGTCAAATGCTAGAAATATATAGAAACACCTGTGCATAGAGAAGTTCTGACTTTAGACTTCACCCACTCACCTTATGAGTTAAAAACTTGAAAAACAGAAAATTTAATGAATCAGATAATCAAGAACATAGGAACTATCACTGTCTAATAATGTAACTAAGCAATAAGTAATTAAAAAAAAAACTGTTCATTTGAGCAGCACCCATTGAGGGTGTCTGCCAATATTTTAAGGTGGATTTCCCAGATTTTTTCCTAATATTTCCCTGATCCATTACCTGATTTAATTTAAAGTTACCCAAACTTAACTTCAGAAAATTTAGACCTAGAATCTTTTAGAAAAATGCTCTTCAATTACAAAAATATAAACAATATTACAACCTACATTAAAAGTAATATGAGAACCATCATATGAGCCCTTGAGTGAAAAAGTGGGCCATGCCCACTTTTGGTATTATTCAAGTTGTTTACATTTTCTGAAAGCTCAAGTACATAAGCGTTAGTAAAAAAATGGATCATGTCCTAAAATGTAAATTGTCTTGATTCTGTTTTGCTCAGAAGAAAGAAGGGGCACGCTATAGAGATGGAACACCTAAAACAGACAAAAAGAAACCAAAATCAACAACACGCTCATTCACAGTGCATTTTAAAAATGGAGATATTATAGTATGCAAATCACTGTTCTTGCAATCATTCCAAATCAGTAATGGTGGACTTGACAGAATTCTCAAAATGTCAATTTGTGGAGTACCAAAATTGGGTGGGAGGGGGAACCACAATCACCATAGAAATACTGACAAAACTTTTGCTAAAGAGCACATAGCTTCCTTCCCAGCATATTTCATTCATTTTACAAGAACTTGCCATAGAGCTTAGAATAAAAGGAAATATCTGTCTTCCAATTTAAATATAAAAATTATGTAAAATTTATTTAGAATTTTGCAAAGGAACATAGATCCTATTAATGAATGGGCTTACAGATAATGTTTTAATGAAAATTTTAATCTATCTTTCACATTCTGAAGAAAGATACATGCGAAATTTGTGATAAATTTAAAATGGATATGCAGATATCAAATGGTGAACACAAAAGCGTTCTGAAGACTGCTCTTGAACTTCATCTTAAACAGGCAGAGTGTGCAAGAATAAGTCTGCAAAAAATTAATCATCTGCAAAGACACTTGCTTTCAGTTTCGATTTGGAGAAAACACTACCTTGCCCGTGTATTTCTGTAAATTTGGTTTACTACTGTAGACAGCTTCAAGTGTATAATCTTGGAATTCATGATTTTGGGAGTGATGAAGCTACAATGTTTATGTGGCATGAAGCAATGGCTTCAAGAGGACCAGATGAAATAGGTTCATTTATAATGAAGTATTGTCTGCAAAGGTTAAAGAATGGTGTGAAAGATATTGTAAAATATTTTGACAGCTACAAAGGCCAAAATCAAAATTTTAAGATGGCTTGGTAGAATGTTTTCTTGTCAGCAAAGGAGCCAGAAATTTTGAACAAAGATTTATGAGAACAGGTCACAATTTTCTGCCAAATGATGCCAATTTTTGTGTGATTGAAAGAGCTCGTCACAAGCATGACTTATACATTCCTGAACAATGGATGGAATTGGCATCAAAAGAAAAGAAAAAGATACCATTTTTTTCAGGTTATTAAAATGCAAAAAAACGAATTTCTGTCTCTTGCTGATTGGGTGAAAGATGTTGCTGTTAATAGACATAAGACTGTTTATTGAGAACAGGTTAAATGGTTACAAATTCAGTGTCTACGTGTAGAATCTAAAAACCCAATGATGATGCAATTCAAGTACTTATTAAACAACTTAGAAACTTGGAAGACTTTTCAAGAAAAAGAAAGGTTGGTCTTTATCCATAAGTGTTGCTGGTCCAGTTATTTTACATTCAGAAGGAAGACAACTCACTGAAGCTAAATTGAAGGATCTCAACCAATAACTTCCTTATATACCTCCAGTGCACCACAGCTTTTTCCAAAATCTTATTTCTCAAAATAAAGATAATAAAGATGAAACTTTTATTTCGGCGGTAGAAAAAAGTAGGCGGTAAAAGTAGTATATCTTTATATCATTTACACATCATCATGATAAACTTGATTATGATCATCATCATCATCATCATCATCATCATCATCATCATCATCATCATCATCATCATCATCATCATCATCATCATCATCATCATTATCATCGTTATCATCATCATTTTCCCTAACTAAAGCTCATTCATACCATATGTAATGCAAACTCTTCAAGTTTTATTACTTCTACTTCTACCATTTTCTCCTGAAGCTGCTACCTCTCTGCATGCTGATACCTAAACCACCTTAATCTTTTCTGACTAATGCTGTTTAATACAATGTTTTATTTAATCTCTGTCTAAGATTATAGCTCTTTTTCTTGTCGTGTTAGAGTAAAACCACACATCCATCTGGTCATCATTTTCTCTTTCAGCAAATAATACACCATATAAATACTAAAGTTTATATAAATATGTAAAGATTTTGTATGCCAGTATCTAAATAAACAGCAAACATAAACTTTTATATCCAAATCAAAGTCAAAAAGAGTCAAAGCCAAATGTTTTTTTTATTATTGTAAGAACTCAATGTAAAAAGATTCTAAGTTCTATTCTAAAGTAAGGCTAACATTCCATTTTTAATTCATGGGTTTGATCTTTTTACTTCTCTCCAGAATAAGGCAGAGTTATTTGCAAAGAACCTTTCCTCTAATTTGACTATTAAATCTAATAGCCATAATCATCTTGCTATTCCAGCTAAACAGATTATCTTCTAGTTACACATACAAACCACTTTGGCTTTCAATGTGAAATTCAATTCTTAATTAAAACTTCTATGGGTTGTAGTTCAGACAACATTTCCAACGTAGTGTACAAAGTTCCTACTAAAATGTTTTCCAGAACTCTCTACAATTCACCAAACTATTAAAAAGTGCTAAATAAGTAGATAGCATAAATATAAGTATAAGCAAATATGAAATATAACAATAACATATATAATATAAGATATAAAATATAATAAGTACAGTGGGGTGCGGAATTATAACCTCACCTGTATAAAAACCTTAAAACTATCTTTCAAAGTTTGTTGATTAAATTCTATTTGTAGATCATTTTTTGAAATAAACAAAGTAATTTAATCTATTTGAACTTTAATTAACTCAAATTTTAAAACCATGGTGCACCATTATAACCTTGTTATCTAAATTGCATCAAAAGCCATCAAAAAATAGTAGTAAATTCCATTTTAAAATTAAATTTATTACATTTTAAAATTATAAAATACATTCTAACGAATGCCTAGAAAAATTACACTCACCGATGAAAAAAAAGGCAAGATCATAGCCTACAGGTTATTGAGTTTAATCAAATAGGGAAATTTTTTTTTTTTTATTTTACTTCACCTCCTCAAGGCCGAGAAGGCCACTACAGACGAGGAGGCTACTTATTTTGTGGCTATAACCCTCTCTTAACTCTATAACTCCGAAACACGAACCTTGACGAACAAGGCCGCTGCGCGGAGAAACGAGTTGAGCGCGGTACTACCAGGGACGTGGTGGGTATCGAACTCGGAACCACTCGTTTATAAAGCGAGCGCTCTACCACTACACCACTACCGCAGAGAATTACTTGTAAAAAAGAATTACTTGTAAACTGAGATGCTCACCACATTTGATCAATAGTTTTGTAAATGATCTTACAAATTATTGCACGAAGCATCGAAATGGTAGAACACCTATACTTACAACTTGCCAACAGCAATAAATTATGCATGCCGCTAGTAACCGTACAATTTCTGAGAGACAAATAGGTGCTGACTTGGGATTGAAATGCTTAAAATTGCCTGACTTGTTGATTGCAGGATTCATCGTCCATGATGAATCCTGCAATTAACAAGTCAGGCAATCTTAGATATGTAAAAAAATGTACTAACTGAAGCACACAAATGCATTTGTCTTCTATGGGGCAAGGACCACATGACTTGGGAAAAAAAATGGCAAAAAATTGTGTGGTCCAATTAAAAAAAATCAATCTTAATGGTCCAGATGGCTGGACCATCTGGAGCATCAAGATGGCTGGACCAGCTGGACCAGCTGGACCATCAAATATCAATCTTGTGGTCTGATGAAAAAAAATTAAATCTTGATGGTCCAGATGGCTTCAATTACAACTAGCATGGCATTAGAAAAAAAAAAAAATTTCAAAAAGAAGGGATATGGGAGGCAGAGGATTAAATATGATTAAATATAATGTGCGTTTGGTTATTTTGGAAAAACTTCGATTGGCTTTATTACTACTAAATTAAATGCTGAAGGATATAGAAATTTGTTGAACGGTCATTTGAATGATATTTCGCAAAAATTTGGTAACACCAATTTCATTTTCCAGCAAGATAATGCTCCAATTCATGGAGCAAAGTCAAATATCTCATGGTTTACCAGCAAAAAAATTCAATTATTAAAATAGCCAGCGCTCTCACTTGATTTAAATCCCATCGAAAACGTATGGGGTATCTTAGCAAGACACGTTTATGGAGAAGGGAAACAATATTTGAATGTCGATGAATTGAAAAGGCAATTGTACATGTTTAAAAGAACATATCTCTTGCAGATCTTAGAAAACATTTGGAAAGTATTCCAAATTGAATATATGAAGTTATTCAGAATGGGGGCAATAAAACAAAGTATTAATAAAAAATTCAAATTGCAATACAAAACATTATGGAGTTTTGTAGAGTAAAAATGAAATGAGGCTATAATTTTGCACCATCATTTTCCTTAAATTTTTAAGTCAATTAATGAAATGAAAACAGACTCTACTACAAATGAAATAAAAATCAAGTAGGATATTAAGCAATTATTTAAAAATACAATAGAGTCCCATTAACTTG